CTGTGTTCTGCAGGAGCCAGCGGTCTCCACCTGACTAAACATGAGAATTTCCACGGTGGTCTAGATGCCATCTCAGTGGGTGACGGCCTCTTCACCATCCTTACCACTCTGAGCAAGAGAGCCACCTCAGTCCAGGTCATGCTACAGCCCATCCTCACTTACATGGCTTGTGGTTATATGGGCAGACAGGTGAGCTTCATTCTGCCTGGGTCTGGCCTTTGACGATCTAAACAAATACAGAGCAGTGCTGACGCATATTTATTTATTTATTTATTTTCCTCCGTCTTGTTATTGCACATTCTTTAGGGATCGCTCTCCACCTGTCAACTGTCAGAGCCTCTTCTGTGGTTCATACTTCGAGTGTTGGACACCAGTGAGGCTCTTAAGGCCTTCCATGACATGGGTGGGTGTATACACCTAATATCTGTATATTTCTTTGATTGTCAAAGCATCGTGTCCATAGTACTACCAAGACCTTACTCATAGTTTCAACATTCATGTCAGAGAGCCCCAAGCTATAAGATTTGAATAGGTTTTAAAGTTTTGCTGTTGAGTTTCTTTGTAAACCAAGTATTTGAAGTACAAGTTACTCCCTCATCCATGTTTCTTAGCTTGCAGTTCCATCTTCCCAGCTTTTGTTTGCACATTGAGTCATATCTTGTTCAGTAGAATAGTATTTAGCACAGTTAGGTGTTAATGGTCATGGAAAAATATCTCCATAACCATTAAAACCCACATGGAGTCACAAAAGGTTATTTTTGTTAATCAGTGCCCGAAGAGTCACCTGACACCTTTGTCACGCCACTGATTGTGGAAGGAATTGAAAAATTTAGCAAAGTCAGATTTTTTCAGTCATTTCTATTTTTGTAGAAATTGAACATAGGTGCATTGCATATGAATAGCAGTCAATGGTTTATGCTGTATTTGATGTATAAGAAAGCATAACTTTGTCTTTAACCAGGAGGTGTCCAGTTGATCTGTAACAACATGGTGACCAGCACTAGAGCCATTGTGAACACGGCACGCAGCATGGTGTCCACTATCATGAAATTCTTAGATACAGGTCCAGGAAAGACGGCAGATGGAAACCTCAAAGCCAGAGTGATGACATCGGAGCCGGACAATGCTGAGGGACTCCACAATTTTGCTCCTTTAGGTGCTTTCAGCTAATTTTGAATTCCATCACTCCATCTCATAGGACAATACCTGAATAAAATTGACAATCGTATTCCTACTCTTCTCTAATCTGCATGATCTGTGTTGCTTCCCAGGCACTATCACATCCAGCAGCCCAACAGCACAGCCTGCAGAGGTCCTCCTCCAGGCCACCCCTCCACACCGACGGGCCCGCTCCGCAGCCTGGTCTTACATCTTCTTGCCAGAGGAGGCCTGGTGTGATCTCACCATCCATCTTCCAGCTGCTGTGTTGCTGAAGGAGCTTCATATCCAGCCGCACCTAGCTTCTCTAGCCAGTGAGTAGGAATTTCTTTAAAGATGAGTGGGCCACAACCTCTCTTGAGATTTGTGTAAACCTGGTGACCAATAAATGTCTAACAGCTGTGCTTGCCACAAGGGTTTCTCCTCCAACTACTAAGCCAT